TCCAAGAAATAAAATTTCCACTTAGTAAACATAGTGGATCAAATATGACAAAGTATTTGTTTTCTGTGATTGTACCAAAGAATGGTTTCTCAGTAGTAACATCTAATCCGTTAAACTCTTGTTAGTGGTGTATCAGTAACAATTGTTTTTACATACAATCCCATATCTTGGAGATGGGACAGACACACTTTGAGAAGATAATCAAGATGCCACTTTTCATGTTACCCCTGGCATAGTAAAAAAAAACAAACTAAAGCATAGTCAGTTGGTGTTTTTTATTTATCTTGTGATCCATGAACCACAAAGCTTATTACTTCATTCCTTATCTCGTCGTAAATCCAAATGAACTTTTAAGGACATTTCATCAAAGATGAAAATACAATATTTGTCATGTTCCAAAAACCCAGAGATTTTTAACAAATCACATTGAAAGAAAATCCAGGACTTACATCAACACTGTACAAAAGTTTGTTTGTTTTTTTTTTCAATGAGAAGAGTGAACATTTCACAGATGTAGGCATATGTTTTTCTACTGTAAAACAATATCATCAGTTTTTTCACTCCATCCTTTCTGAGATTTATGTTTACAGGTTCTCTTAGAGTTCCTAAGAGCATCACGAAAAAGTCTGTGCAGGTCAATCAAGCAAGCTAGTCATCCCATTGATCATTCAGTCGAAGCTGTAATTCATCATGGCTGCTAGGTGTGTATTGTAGCTCTTTTTTCATTCATCACTTCTTCACTTGCAGAGCATTTACTTTTTTCTTGGTGGCCTTCTCCTTGGTGATTCCACAAGGCTTGTCAGTTACAAAGAATTATTGTTGTCAAAGGAGGCATGTATGGAGACTCGATAGAATAGTCTGTCAGTTTGCAGTGTATCAAGCTGGCTATACCTATAGAAATATATGTACTGATTATTTAACAACAGCCTCAGAATGAATATAAATCTACTGTATCAAAAATTAATGATCAAGAGTATAATGTACCATAGTGAAATTCAATAAGTGGAAAATTTTAGAAAATCCTTGAGTGATAGGAAACTCGTTTTTGCATTTTTTAGAGGGACTATCTACTTGCTTTATGACTTATCTTTTCACACCAATACTTGGTGGAGGATTTTATGCTTCAAATATGGGCGGTATGGTGTTCGGCATGAGATGCTTTCTCCTCTTGCTCGATTGCTTGTCAGAGGGACACACAATCAACCCTGGTTCAGACTTGTCATCACACAAGACATGCTGCTCATTCAAGTCAATTCACCTAGTGTTCTGGATCTACTTTTTGAGCCTGTAAGATATGAGAAATACCCCATCAGTCAGTAAGCCACAATTGGAAGAAGATAGATTATCATTTAAAATAGAAAGAGAAATCAACCAAAATTTCAAAGAATAAAATGATAGCTCATAATCCTTTATTGATGAAAGATGGCGAGGAAGGAGGCAGGGCTTGAAAATTTTGATTTAGCATTATTACCATTTGGCTGCCAATGATCAAAGTTTACTTGTCCTTAATGTTACACATGATGGATTATATTTTTCTTGTGTCTCTGCTAAAACTATGTAATTTGAGCTTGGATATTAAATACATATTTACATATATTTTCCAGTGAATAATCTTGGTGTTTGGCTATTGACTTGCTCCTTTTAGTAGGGAACCACAATGACTAATTATCATATGTAGATCAAGTTTACAAAAGAACTGAATCAATTTCCCACATTTTACTCTTTACTTTATCTATTGTTTCTACTTTATTTACGATAGCCTCCAATTTCTATCCAACCAGCAAAATCTACAAACAAATTGTACATCTTCATTACTAGCTTCATTAAAAGTGCATGCCAGTCCTGAGTTCCCAAATAAAACCCACTTCTTGCAAGTATCACACCTTATAAAATGAGCATGCTTAACATCTATGCTACTCTTAACCATATGTATGTTCTTGATACCAGTTATGGGCTTTAAATTGAATTAATTGTTGTTTCAAAGGTTTTCATGGTTTCTAACATATTCTGGTGGGAAGTGAGGGCTGTTTTAATTTGGTTGTTACTGTGTTGTTTATTATATGGGGTAACAAATGTGTTTTGGTAGAATGTCTAATGTTTTCTTGTCAGATTTAGAATTATTGTTTTCAGAATTTCTTTAAATCTATAAACTGCTCAAGATAACTAATCAGAAAAAGGAGAATTTAGATATTTCAATGACTTCACTGATGGCTTATTTATTGGAGCAGTTCCTTTCTATCTTTCTGTGTAGAATAACCTTGAACATTAAATCATCATCTGCGAGCCAAGTTTCTACAACTACCAAACAAATAAAATCAAATTTTATACACTGTAATTCCATTAAACTTTCATCCATGTTCTTTCTCAGACTTCTTGAATTTATATAATATATTGACAAACCAGCAAAATCACTAATATTCTTTTCAATTTTTGATGAATTTCAGTCTAATCACCCATATTATCAAAATCTAAATGGTTGAAACTACTTAAATTATTCACCAACATCAAAAGTAAAATATAAATATAATATTTTCAGATAATTTTCATTTTTAATAACATTCATAGATTTCTTATTTGTTATACAAAATTGACTACTATTAACCCATAAGAATGTATATTTTCCCTTTTTTAATATTTCCCATCTATTGAAATAAGTCTTTAGAAAATTGCAACAACTGTTCACTTGCATATGTATTGTGTTCTTTATCAAAAATACTTGCTTCCTTCATTGTTGATTTTTTTTTCATATCTTGGAGCAATTTTTCACAAAAAAGCTTGTTGCTGTTATAAAGCTTGGAAATTTCCTAGTTATGTATTCTTATTTTTAACCTATTCTATGCAAGATTTCTATGTCACTAGGTCCCACTGTGATATCTAAAATAGTAGCTATCTTCTTAAGTATTACCTCTGTATTTTCTTGAATCATTTCAAATACTTTCATGATTACTAGTTTTTGGTTGTTCAACTTTGTGTAACCTGTATGCCAAGTTTGAAATAAACCCCTACGCTTAACAAAACTTTTCACTCTTTAATTTTTCAACTTCTTTCTTATTTTGTAATCACTTAGTTCTTTCAAAACTATTACTTACTTATATTATATTACTTAATTTAACAATTCATCATAATTCTGATAAATAAATATTACACTTTCCGATAGTATTGAAATCAGTGCAGTATCATTTTTAATCTAATTTATCTGTAACATTAATTAACTTAAAGTTAGCTCAGTTAAGTCCATGTCACTGTCACTAATTCTTGACTACCGACTTTCTTCATAGCAACATTTATTACGCCTTCATTTTGATGTATTCACTTTTGAAAACTGTGTTCTATAAATTCAGCACAATAAAAATGGTATGCACCACAGTGCTTCACATTAAATTTTAGTAAGTCATTTCTTTCTATGATATCTTCATTACATGCCATACATTTCTTGCTAACTTCTTCTGCCACCATTTTTCCTTACTTCATACACCAATGCTTTGAAACACAACCAAACTTTCTGTCACTAAGCCACAGACTGAAACAATAAGAAACAGTAATTTTTATGATTAAAAGAATCCGGTATAGTTCTTGTGTTCTACTATTTATGGGGTTTAAATTGTATAGGGAAATTTTTGAAAGCCAGCTTTCTTGATGTATTTTATAAGTGCTTGAAATATCTCTTTACTGTTAAGAAGATAAAGGTTGTTTATTTATATAATGTATTCTGTAAATAGAAGATAATAAATGCCTTTACCCTAACAATTTGAATCAAACTACATCTTTTTATGTAAAAATTACTTCAGTCTTAGTATTGAATCAATGTACATCTATTTAAGCAAGAAATACTCTTTATCCTTACAGTTTGAGCCAAGCTGCATCCATTTAAATTAGAAATTTCTTAGCCTTGACATTTTGAATAAACTTACGTCTACTTAAATAATAAAATACCTTACTCCTGACATTTGAATCAAGTTGTCTCTATGTAAGAAACACCATATTCCTGATCTGAATCAAGTTTCATTTCGTTAATTCCCCCAAGTGGTTCACTGGTAAATCTGAAGGCTTGTAACACTGAACCTGGGTTTCAATACCTGAGGTGGGCACAGCACAGATAGCCCATTCTGAAGCTTTGTGCTTAACAACAAACAAACATTTATTTAACTCCTTCACTGCCACATTAGTGGATGAATGCTAAGTTTATTATTAGATACACAATATAAAAAAAGGACCCATGTTTTTATGTTTCTTTACTTGAAAGCTTGAATTAAGTTTTATATGTTTAAGGAAGGAATATCTTTGATGTGACCATTTGAATTTAGCTGTAGCTGTATAAGTAAGAAATGCCAGTCCTGACAGTTTAAATCAAGATGGTTTATTAGGTCTAATAGCCATGTTCATCATCCCAGCAAGTGTGTATTCCTGTATTGATCAATGTATGTTCTTAGCCATGCTTTTCACCTATTATAAGTTGAAAATTCATAATTCTGCATTAATAAAATTCAAATAAGCTTCAAAATTTGATAAAAACCAAGAAAAATTATCTCCAATAAGACTAAGGTCACAGTTACATGTATTTAAAGGCACAGAAATAACTGAATTATGATATATAACTGTTCAATACATATATAAAATTTGATACTCTCTAAGTGCTTGTACAAAACAATATCCAAAATAAAAATTGAGTTTTGGGTATGGCTCAACCCAGAGACTGCTGAAGAGGTATATGCTTTACAAACTAATGTGTCTATTATGCTGCAAATATCAGTTTTGCAGGTCATTGGTTACACGTTTATAAAAAAAAAATAATAATTTTAAAATTTCTTCTAGGTCAAGAAAGAAATACAATATTTTGGTTTGTCTTCTTGTTTATTTTTGAAAGTAATATACCTTTAAAACAGTTTTAAATATTTCATTTATGTCAAATGTTAGGAATGTATATAAGTTCAAGCTCTTTGATAAACTTTATAGTAAGAAAAACTTGTTTAAAACATATTTTCTCAACTTTTTTTTTCCAGCACAAATGCCTAGATCTTTAAAGTCATTGTGTCGAATGGCAGTGAGACGCCTTTTAGGAAGGCAACAAATTCATAACATAAGGGACTTGCCATTACCATCATTGCTAAAAGACTATTTGGAATTCAGAGAGTTGCTACCAGAAGTTGATACTTTATTAATATATGACTCTACCAGGAATGAAATATAACTGTGATATGCATTATATATATATATATATATATGTCTTATTTATGATTATTGATCTGTATACATAACGTGAATCTTTTAAATATCCTACAAGCAAAAATATTTTTATTCATTTTGAATGCTACAATATTCAGCAACCATTTGAAATTTTAGGTACTTGTTACCTTTACTCAGAATAAGAATTGAGCATTGACTACTTTGTAATAGAAGGTATTTAAATTTTGGAACAATATTTGAAAGATTCGCTTCATATGTTTCTGCATTTTTATGTATTTATTTATGTATAAATATAAATGTTTGTATATGTGTGTATATATATGTATACATATACAAATTTGCATAGAAACAATAGCAATAGGAGATTAGTAGGCATTTGATTTTGTGTTATTCACTGGCATTATTGAATCACATGATTTAAAACACTTATCTTGAAATTTTATTAGTTTAGTACTAGTCTACAGTCACAGTAAACCGAATTCAATCCTTAACCCAATAACCTTCAAATTCATTAAATTAGATAACGTACATTCACATGTATGTACATGTAAATTCTTTTGTATTTGCTACATTCTTCTTCTGCTAAAAAAGGACATTGTTTAATGTTATATATACTAACTGAAAAAAAAGATACTGTGCAGGTCTCAAAATGGAATAAATTCATATACATTAGGTTTAGTGTTATGATATATAAAAAATCAGAAAACAGAATATTTCGTTGAACATATCAGGTAGTACTCGACACGCCTGCCTGATCTCCTGATCGGAATTTAGGTCGTGTGACCTAGGAGGGTCAGGTA